GGGCCAGCCCAGGGAACCCCTGCAGATTCCGAAAGAAGCGGCTCAGAGGCAGGGGCCCTCCTAGGGCCTCAGGGACCCCTGACCCCCAGACACAGGAGGCCGCGCGGGGGCATGACCGCCCCAGCCCCTGGCCAGGGCACAGGTCCTGCCCACAGCCCAGAGTCAAAATGGTAGACAGGCAGCAAAGAGGCTCTCCCCAGAGCCCATGGCTCTCTGGAAAAGGGCACTGGGTGTCCTAGAAGCCTCACCCACCTCACGCTCCTCTTCCACCAGGAACCGGCTCTGCAGGCCGGGGCCTCATCCGGCACCTCCTGGTCTTAGTTGAGGGACTGAGTGCAGAGCTCCCCCTTGGCAGACCACGGGGTCCAAGTGGAGCCTGAACACTCCCCAACACCCACCCAGGGCCCTCCTGCTCCTCTCCCTGCACCTCCTCGATGGCCCCTACTCCCCCTTCCTCAGCCTTGGCAGGCAGACAGCAGGGAGGCTCTGCCCAGAGCTGTGACCTGCGACCCACTTACAAGGCTGCTGGGGGAGGGGCCCCCACAATGGTCCCAGCAGGGAGGTGGCATCTGTCAGGCGGCCACGGCTCTGACACGAGGACAGCCTCCCGCTGCCTGAGCCTGGCGTCGGCCCTGTTCTCCACAGGTCGTGGTTGGGGTCCAGGCTGCATAGGCAGAGTGCAGGGAGCTGCGCCCAAATCTACACCTGGACAGCCTCAGGGAGGCTTCTCTGAACAGGGAGGTGGGAAGGTGGGCAAGGCCCGAAGGCAGGCAGGACGTGAGGGCAGGGCCGGGCGTGGGGCAGCAGGACTGGATGCCAGAGAAGGGCACCCAACAGGGACCAGCTGGGGACGGGGCATGGGCCGCAGGTCAGGAAGGATGGCTATGCACAGGGTCCTGGGCCGGGGGTTTCCCTGGAGGAGGGTGGGGGCTGCAGCCCCCACCACACAGCACAGTTCCAGTGGGGTTCCAGGCAACTGCAACCCACCCAGGAGCACCTCACGGACTCGGCCGCGGAAAGCGCTCTCAGCTGCCACTCAAAGCAGAAACCTCAGAGGGAAATTTGGCCAAATTCAAAAACGACTCCAGAGAAACACCATATGTAACACACAGCCAGTCCGATCCCAAGGGCACGGGGTCCCCAGGAAGCAGAAGAGGGAACCAGGTCCAAGGAGGACAGCAACCGCAGGGATGCCAGGAAACACCAGCCCACGGAGAGAGAAATGGAGGCAGAGCAAATGTGAGCAAAGGAAAGCACGCTCCTCACCGCAGCCAGATGGCTGGCGCTCAGCAGCCCACCCGAGCTGGTGAGGGGAACACAGGCAGCCCGTGGCAGTCTGCGGAGGAAGCAGCATTTGTCCCAGGAGTGAGCTGGAAATGCCAGCCGGGGCCAGCTGGGTCAAGGCCCACCGCCTGAGGCTGCTGGCTCGTGCTCTACCCGAAGCCATCAACAAGCAGTGGGAGAAGCCGGAATCCCCTGATCGCCTCCAGCAAAGCACCAGATAAGCACCTTGTAGTTCAACCCGGTAGGCGCAGCTTAAGAACACCCTTGAACCCACGTGGAACATCTCTTAAGTCAGACTGGCCAGGAGAGCAACGTGCGAAAGCTGGGTCACAAGACACCACTTACGCGAACTTCCTAGACACAAGCCCGGCGGCAACAGGGGCTGGCAAGTCCTGGCAGGCTGGGCCTCCCTTGCCCCCAAAGCTGCTCCCCGTCCACCTACCGGTGGCCGCCCCCGCACCTCGGCGCCCACGTGCCTGCTGCCGTGTGAAGTTCTTGTTGGACCCCAGGAGGTAGGGAGCGATAAAGCTCTTCTCCGGCCTCTCCTGTAGCCAGAGGGGCTGAGATCAGGGGGCCCCGAGTGGCAGGTGCGCAGAGCGCCTGCACCCATCGTCCCTCTGATGACATCCAAGGCCTGGTGGAATGGCTTAATTTCTGGAATCTACTTTGTAATCCGTTAATGTGCGACATGAGAGGGCAGGCAGATGGGATTTAAACATCTTCGCTCTAGAGACTTTTCTTATTGTGTTATTTTAAGGGAAACGCCACACATAATGCTCATCCCTATAAATAACCTTGGCGGTTGACAGTGGCCCTCCACTAAGAGCAGAGATGCCATCTGGTCAGTGGGTGGCAGGGAGAGGGGCAGAATGGCCAGGAGCAGAAGGCACTTCATGAGGGGTCAAGGAGATGGCTCTGCCGCTCCAGCCCCAGCCCCGCCACCGACAGCCAGAGCCAGGGCAAGACCCTGTCCTCACCTGGAAAGTGACCCTGCCCTGGCGGCTAGCAGTGCTGGCCGTGGGACTAGACAGTCACACACGCACGGTGCTCTGAGCCGGGCACGCGGGAAGGGCAGCACTCCACTTTTCCACAAGCACACCCCTCGGCTGCACATCAGTTTCACAATTCTAGGGTCTGCGAGGGGTGGGGGCCGGCTTCCGGCCAGGAGACGCAGGGAACAAGAGGCACGCCTAGCGACAGCAATGTGGGTGCAGGGGCCAGGTGGCTGTGCTGCAGAGGACGGGGACAGCGGCTGGGATGGGCAGGTGAGCAGGCCCCGGGCCCTGAGATGGGGTGTCGGGGTGATCAGCTGGGCTGGCAGCCTGTGAGACCTTCCAGGCTCCTTCTGTGCGGATATGCCATATGGACAAGGACCCCACAGCCCCAGGAGGAAACTGCTTCAGATACCGCCACTCCTGGCTCCACCGTTCACATGGCCTGAGAGACCCGTGACTGGGCGTAAGTCTATTAGAACAGTTTCTATAAGACCCTTTGTCCTCATGGCTGAGTAAAATGAGAAAATTCCTTCAATAATCTCTTTAGGTAAATAGCCACTAAGTCTCTGTTGGAGACAGGTGCCCAGCAGGGTTGGACGTGGGCTTCCTCACCAGGAGGGCCGATGAGCCCAGCCTGGCAGGTGGGGTGGGGCAGGCTACCTCTCGGGAGGAACAATATCACTTTTTATCTAGCCTGGTTACTAAGCCGCAGCCAGGCCCCTCCATCTGATGGTGCCCGCTGCAGGGGGTGTGAGACCCCAGCCGGGTTCCCTCCGGGACCATGATCAGCTGACGTGGCCACTCACCCTCTCCAGCCTCAGGTGCTCACGCCTCCAACAGGAAAAGCGCCCTGGCCCCCAAAGCTGCTCCCCACCCACCCACGGCAGCCGCCCCCACGCCCCGATGCCCACGTGCCTCCTGCGGCGTGAAGTTCTTGTCCGGCCCCAGGAGGTAGGGCGTGATGAAGCTCTCCCCTGGCCGTATCTGCGCCATGAAGCCGTAGAAGCAAAGGTAGCACACAAGGCGCCGCCAGGACCGGAGCTCGGGGTCAGGCCCAGGTTCCACGGGCACCTGCTTCTCCACCGCTGGGCTGGAGGGCACCATGCTGCTCAGGTCACATGCAGCTCCAGAGGGGAGGACGGTGACACTCTGCCTAGAAGGAGGGGTGGAGTCAGGGCAGCTCGGAAGATGGTCTGCAGGCCTCCCCACCCCGCAGAATGAGGCCCAGTGCCGGCCTCCTCCTCGCCACTCAGAACCAACCACCTTGGAGACGAACGCAGACCCCGGACCCATCCTCACCCTGCAGCACCAAACTGGGAGCCACCCACACCTGAGTCGCTCCGGAGTCCCCCCAGGCCAGGCTGTCACCACCTCCAGGGTCTCTGAGGCTAAGGGAAGTCTCCAGTCACGTGGAGTGATTTAAATGCCAATCAAAACCAAATTAATTAACTAATTGACTTAGTACATTAACTAAACGAACAAAATTTAGGTTTGGGGCCATACCAGACTCATGTCACTGCTAGACAGCACGTGTGGCTATGGCGGCCGGGCGGGCACACCTCACCCCACAGGCCTAAGGGCAGCCCACATGCCTGCTGCTGCTCTAGCGGCACCCAGGTGGCCCGGGGAGGGCACAGGCAGAACAGACGCTGCTGGAGGCCAGGGACACACCTGGTCACACCACGGGTGGCTGACAGTGGGTGGCTGCAGGTACCAGCCTCAGGTCCCCATCAGCCTGGGGTCGGATCCTGCACACGAGCGTGGGAAACACACCGGCCCCCATGCCCTGGCAGGAGGGCATGCAGGCCAAGTCCACAGTGAGGGAAGGGCAGAGGAAAAAGCAGGGGTCCTCGAGGGGACTGAGGGCAGCCAGGGGTGAAACATGCATGGGAGGGAGGATGGGATGGAGCTGAGGCCCAGCCCCTGAGCCCAGGGACCCCAGCATCCCCGGAGGCAGGTTATCCTAGACAGAAGCAGCTGGCAGGAGCCATGGGTGGACCTGACACGTTCCAAATGGAGCACCCCAGACCACGGGCCTTCATCCACGAGGCAACAAGCATCCAACCTTGGGGACCGTCCCACCAGCACCCCCGCCCCACACGGCCAGGGCACGTGGCAGAGCAGCAGCAGTACGCAGCCCCCTCGAGGGCTTGTCTCTTTCAGTCCTGACTCTGCCCAGGACAAAGGCTCCTCTGGTGCGGGCAAGAGCTCATCTCGCCACCACAAATCGTGCCTTCTAGCTGCGGGGTAGCAGCCTGTCCACTTATCAGAATCATGTCTCCAGGTGCCACATAGTGCTGGTTTCCATTTAAGGCCTCAGTGTAAAGTTCTCTTTCAAGTAAGTCAAAAGTGAGCCGCCATAAACAAGTGTGTCAGGGCACCCCCCAAGCCAACCCAGTGAGGCCAGGACCCAGCCCTGGTCCCCCACGGGTGCACCTCAGGTCTGTATCAGCTGACCTCTGCTCCCGGAGGCCAGGCCTGGCAGAGTGCTCATGGAAAGGCCGCCTGCTGCTCAGGTGGGGTGGGGACACAGCACATGCAGATGGCAGCTGGGCAGCCGCATGGGGCGGGGTCGCCGTCCTGTCTGCACTGGGCTGACACAGTCGGACAGTTGTGCCTCGCCACAGGGCCTGCTTGGGAGGGTGGCGGGGGGTTCTGCAGAGGGTCTGGATTCGGGGAGAGTCTCCTCCAACCCTCCAGCACGGGCTCAGAGCATCCCTCGATGTGGGGCCGGCTTTGGGGGTCCAGGGACTCTGAGGAAAAGCTGCCCCAAGCTCTCAGCACTCAGTCTCTGAGTATCAGAGACCACTCAGGCTGGAAGTGGTCCCTGAACTGCCCCCAACCTGACACACAGGCTTAGGAAAGAGGTGGCTTGCAGGGACTAGAGAGGGAGACCCTCCCCAGGCCACGCAGGCAAAGCCATCAGCAACATCCCGGGTCCTGTCTTCACACCTCTACACACTCACATCTGTGACAAAGGAACACAGACAGGCGACAGCAGGGAAGCCCTTAAGAGGCAGAGGCTAGTGGGCTTGCCGTGGGGGCCGCATGGAAGCGGGGGAAGGGTTAGGGAAACCTCAAGATTTCCAGAGCTCCACGGCAGGGCACGGCTGGGAAGATGATGGGACCAGCACCCCCATCGGAGACAGCCGGGACTCCAGAAGTTCTCAAAGGGCCAGAATGAAAACAGCCAGCCAGGCAGGAGGAAGCGCAGGCAGGGGCCACTGCAAGGCTGAGGCAGATCTGACAGTCACCTGCCTCGGCCTCGCCTTCCACGCCTCCCCAGGGCCTGTGACAACAGCTGGGAAGATCAGTGCACAAAGGCTGGGCTCCATTACCAGGGACCCTGATGCCCAGAGAGGCCACGGGTAGAGCTGGACATACCTCGGACCACACCCATCCCTCCTCACTGGGAGACCCATTCGGCGCTGGGACTCCCCATCAAGCTCACTTTCCCATCCGTCAGCAGGTTTAGACAGGTGCACCGATCCCCAGACACCCAGAGCAACCAGATCACCACAGACAATGGGGAGCCGTCAGGATCTGAACTAAGCCCAGGGTCTGGGCCCACAGTCCACAGCCCCAGGAGTCAGATCCCCACCCACAGGACCCCCAGAAGCCCCAGGTACTTCGGCCCCCTGTTCTGAGAAGCGACCAGAACATTCCTTTCTTGGAGAGACAGCCAGAGTCTCAGCCAGCAAAGCGGGTGCTGCTGGTCTTAACAGTCAGCCTCTGCCGCCAGCATGCTTAACTTACGTGCAATGAACGTAGCCCACTGGCAGATGCTTGGCCAGCACGGCCAAGACCACCTCCAAGAGGAAAGATAGGGAACTTGGTCACCATCATAGAAATACAGCCTCAAGCCAGGGGAAGCCAGACTCCAGCCCAGTCCCATACAGCTTGAGCCCTGTTCCCGGCATCTGAAGGAAGTCCCCAGCCAGACAGGAGGGCCACGGGGAAGCAGTGAGAATCCCTGCTTCAGGAGAAGGTTGTAACAGCCCCCCGAAATTCCCAGCCCCACTGTCCCCAGTGACCACCCCTGCCCAGGCTCTGTCCTTCCAAGCACCTGAGAAGGCTGGAGACCCGCAATCAAAACAAAAGCAAACGCCACCTATCATTCCATGTTTAAACGAGCTCCTACTCTGGAAGGCTAACCAAGAATGTTCGTCACGTTTTTAGAACGCCTGCCAGTTTAAAAAGAAGCAGAAGAGAGCATTGCGCACCCTCCCACCCCCGTTCAGATGACCAAGTTCAGGGTTCCTAAAAGCATAATTAGACCCTCCGGCTATCACTGCTGCAGGCCCAAACACCCGAGAAGCACCGTTTCTCATCTGTGTCCAGCACAGAAAACTATCTGGTATTGTAAAAATCCACCAAAGCCCCTTCAGAAAGAAAGCAATTAGCAATTGCAACAAGCAGTGCACAGGTGGCACCCAGGCAAACGCGGCCAGTGAGATGCAGCCTGTCTCCCAGGCCTGGACAGGGCAGGCAGGTGCACTGGGCCAGAGCAGCCTCGGCTCTGCTGATTGAATCAGGGCTGTACGGGGATCCTCGGGTCTCCGTGGGGGGAGGCCACCTCTTTACAGGGCTGCCAACAGGCACCTCCAAGGACTCTCCCACCTTCCCTCTGGATGCATTCTGGATTTTGGGGCCACCTTAGTTAGCCTGTGTCCTGAGGCCAGGCAGGCCAGACTCCCCAGGACAGGAGTTTCTGATGGACAGGACCCTGGTGTAGGGGTGTTGTTAGGACCCACTCGGGAAAGGCTGCAGCGGCTGTCCAGGCTCTCTCTGAGACGCCTCGGGTTTGCTCTGCTGGATCCGCACTCACAGCTGCTCCAAGGGGAAGTTGCACCTACAAAGCTTCTGGCACAGGAGAGAATGGCCTGGAGAGGTGCCAGGGGCCCGCCCCACGCGTGGCTGGCAGGATTCACCCGCCGGCTGGCCCGTCCCGAAGCAGCACGTGCCTGGACGCGAACTCCGGATCCACGCGTTCCTCCAGACCCGGAGGTGGGACTTGGCGCCCCAGGATGACGCGGAGGGCAGGCTGGGGGGCGGGCCTCACCAACGCATTAGCAGGCTGGGGCGGAAAGTTAGCGGCGGGAAACCCGCTGCACTGCAACGGTTCTGCCAGGCGCCCGGCTCTCAGCCCACCGCGCCCG